AACACATAAGTAAACAAAACAAAAAGTAAAAAGCCGGAGGTGGAGCTGTGGCTCAAGTTGGTAGAGCACTAGCCTTGAGCTGAAGAGCTGAGGGACAGTGCCCAGGCCCAGAGTTCAGGCCCCACGACTGGACCCAAAAAAAAATAAAAAAAATAAAAAAAAAAATTGTTTAAAAAAAAAAAAAAGAATCTCATGAACTTTCTTGCCAGGGCTGGCTTTGAACCCTAAGCCTCAGATCTCAGCCTCCTGAACAGCTAGGATTACAGGTGTGAGCCATCTGCCCCTCTGGCTCAAAGAGGTAGAGTACACTACCTTTAAGCACGAAAGCTCTGGAACAGTGCCCAGGCCCAGAGTTCAAGTCCCGGGACTGAAACACACCAAAAATAAAGAAAAAAATAGATAGATAAATAAATAAGGCTAATCAGAAATGGGCAGAAAAAATACACCAGGTGACTGAAAATAATAGCTGCATGCTTTATGTGTATAGGTTTGTTGGTTAAGAGCACAGGCTTTGAGAGTAAAATACGTCCAAGGTAGCCCTGAATATCTAACTGACACGGGTCCAAATAGCCATCAATAAAAAGCTGCTTAACCTTTCTAAGCCTCGGTTTCCTCGCCTAGAAACAAAAATAAGAAAACTTCATTATTCTTGTGAGAATTAAATAAATGATAAACATCAAATGTTTTGCATAGACATAGTATCTATTCAATAATGTAGTTACTATCATTATCACTGTAAACTATCTCAGGGTTTTCTACAAAAAATGTCCTAAAGAATGTTTTCTGTTTCTAACTAACCTCCTGCTGTCAGTCCCCCACCACTCTACCCTCACACAAACACACACACACACACACATCCCATTCTATATAACACTGGGTCTTTTGAACAAACAATATAACATATTAAGAAATCATTTATTTTCTTTCTTTTTTGAAAAACTATTATAATTTTCTTTTGTTTGGTTTTGTTTCTGAGACCAGTCTATAACTCTTGATATTCCTATCTCAGCTTCCTAAATTCTAGTATCACAGGTTTTATGTATATAACATATAATTATATAAATATATAGCCTAGAATACATATTATGTATTTATTAAATATACTATTATGTATTAATGTATTTATATATGATATATATATAGCACAGTCAAACTGACCTTTTTTATTAGCAACAATTAGTTGAAAGCAAATTGACTTTTTAAATTTTACAAATGTGCAGTGCCTATACTGACTCTAGAATTAAAAAATAAATTTTATGTCTTCTTATACTTCTTATACTTGGTTTTCTATATTCTGCAAAAAGGAGGTAAGGTGACTTAAGAAAATAAAAGCCCGCTGCATATATTTCTACACTGAAACATAAAGACCACCATTTGTGGTGACAGTGAGAATAATTAATTCCATAATGTATTGTACATTTATTTTAACTCTATTAAAATCTGAAGATATGCAATTACAAGAAGCTTTTTTTCTATGTAAATAATAATGCCTCAAATAAGGTATTTCATCCTTCTTGTGCTGACTTTTTCTAAATGTTGTGTACTAGTAGGGTAGTGGTACTAATTTATTAAGTGAAAGAAAAAGGATCTATCAAGCTACTTTACTTCCTAAAACTTAGTAATTTAAGAAGCTAATTCCTCTGATCTAGTCTTTTGCCAATTATTCATGTTGTATGCTAACCAGACAACTGAATGGATGTCATTTACATGTACTCATTTTAATAGTTAAACATGTCCAAACAAAACTTACTTATATTTTAATCTTCTGTAAATTTTAGAATTCTCTTTGAAAGTGTTACTGTCAAAATCCAAAATCCTAAAGTACTTATGAAATTTCAGTTGCAGAATATGTAATTTAATTTGAAAGTAAATCAATAGGAGAAGCAAATTATTTGGTCATCTTATTATAAAAGATTAAACTGCCACAAACTTTATTTTACCAGGACTAAAATGCATTAAATTACATTTCACTGACATAAGACCAAAAGAACCTCAAAAACACAATTCAGTATTTTACCAGAGTGAGGTTATAAAAAAGCCAAACTAAAAAATATTTCCCTGTGGAATACATAAACTGTTTTAAGTAATGTTAAAACTCTCTTGACATTTCAGCCATTACAAAAAAAAGTTCATCATATAAACAGAATCATTAAAGATTCCTGGAAAAATAAGCCCAAAGGATTACAAATAAAAATTTTAAAATGCAGTATTAATTTGCAACATCACAAATGACTAAGAAGTACACATTATACATACAACTATTTTTAATTTGTATACTTCTGAAATTATTGTTTAAATTAAAACCTAATCAAGACATAAAATGTGTTTTAAACTATCTCTTGTGAATACACATTGTAAATTACAAAAACATGAAAAGTTAAATATTCACATTTCATTAGCTTAAACTGATGGTTTAGGAAAAGTTGCTTCTTTCAAGGAGATTAAATATAAAGTCACTTAATTTTATAAACAGAGGACAGACTGGTCAAACATAGTAAAAGGCCTAATCTCACAGGAGATTTTGTGAATATGTCTAAAATTTAAGCCTTTTGAAAAATACTATATAATAAGTTAAAGTAGGGACAATTTTTAAATCCATGTCATTACAGAGTAAAACTTCAATAAGAAGTTAAATTAAACAACAGAATCAGCAATAAATCCAGACACTGATTTCTCAAATGTCACCAGACTATCCATTCTGCTAAAAGTACTTTTAAATACATGCCGCACCCAAAGTATCAAGTTTTCAAATCCCTACCTTTTGCTGGTATCTGTATAGCTTTACTTCTGCATAAACCTACTGTAATATTCTATATTATTTTCTCCTACTGCCCATTTAGAAATATATTTCAGTAAGCCTACGAAAAAAATGTTGAATAAACATACACTTCCTTTCCAGAATACTAAAGTATTTATAAATATGACCCACACACACACAAGGGAGCCTACTTCAGCTCTATGGTTTCATTTTTTTAGTACTAATGCAGTTCTGAACATACTCTCCTATGTAACGTGCATAAGAACCAGTAATTATTTTAAACATCAAAACAGCAGCCAACCAAAGGAACAGAACACTCAAGTAAAGCTACTTTGGTTCTAATAAAATTCAAAGATTATATAATAAGCTATGACCTTATCTTTCCAATAATTTTTATAGTCAAAGGTGACAGATTACATCTATTTGGACAAGAGGAAATCAAGAAGTTAATAAAATATATTTCCTCCTCAACTAAGAATTGCCTTCTCTTTTGTCAATATTACAATACATTCATCTACTGACAAAGGAAAAATGAACACTTCACCTGACTGCTTGCTAAGAAACTGAATTGGGAGCATTACCAGTCAGATTTAATTTCTAGGGGAGAATATTTAACAAAAAAAAAAGATTTAAAGTTTATTGGCAGCTACTAAATTTTGGGGAAACGGTCTGAACAGTATAGCCCCCATTTGTCACTTGCTTGTTCTCACTACCCACCCTGCACCAAACCCCCATTGTTCTATGTAAAAACTCACAGCTAATGGTATCTAAATAGCAACTGCTACGTTTATGTTACGGATGATGACTATGAGGAACTCTCCAGAACCACACTCACTCGCTTCTTTCTTTCCTGACCAAAAAAAAAAAATCCTAATTTGATAATAAACTGATCAAAAACTGGTGAGGGAAAAGGATCTCAGCTTCCCTTCCAGACTGATGAATGTCACTCCTGAGTCGAGTAAGGAAATCCCCCCCCCCCCCCCCCCCCGCCACCGACCCCCGAGAAAGGTTACTATCATAAAATGACTCAAAGATCTTCTCGGGCTGGCGTTTTAGAGCTAATTTGTTTTTAATCCAGTACTGAAACGTCGAATCTGGAGACCAGAGGGGTAAAGCGTAGAGGTTCATCTGCCTGCCTGCCGTCCCTGCAGAGCCAGCCGCAGCGCGCAGGATCTCGGATCGGTCTGGGTCCCGGGGTCACCACTTCCTCCCCGAACCTGGGTGGCTGGCGGGGACCGACGCGGGCTTGGAGGAAGTGGGAGCCCGGCACCCCCGCGGCGCGCTCTCCGCGCCGGGCTGCCGGGCGGCCGGGCGGCCGAGGGGCCGGGCTACCTGCCCCGCCGAAGCGTCGCTCGGCGCGGACACCCGGCCCAGACACACACACACACTCACCCATCTTTCCTCTTGGCTTTGTAGACGTGACCGTAAGTGCCTCGGCCAACTTTGCAGCCCTCGTATTCAAACAGGTCCTCGACCCGCTCCCGCTCGCTGCTCAGCTTCACTTTAAAGTCATAGTCCATTGTCACAGCCTCCGAAGCCGGAGAGCTGGGTCGGGGGGCCGGGGGGCCGGGGTGGGGACCGGGGAAGCACGGGCAGCCGCTGCCCCCGGGAAGCCGCCCGCTCTACACCCGCCGGCCGCGGCACCAGCCCGACTGTGGCGGCAGGCGCGGGAGGAGGCCCCAGGAGAGCGCCGGGGACATCCAGCGGGGCGGCGGGGCAGATGCCGGCCGGAGGAGCGCGGAGAGGCTCCCCGGGCGCGGGCGAGCCGGGAGGCGAGGGCTGGGGGTGGGGAGCGGTGTCTCGGCCCAGGTCCCCGCCGGCTCCCCGGGCGCCGGCTCCACTGCTCCCTCCGGCCGCGCGTCCTGCTCCCACGGCGGCGGGAGCGGCCCCGGCGGGCTCTCTTCCTCCCGCGGGCTCACTCTCGCCTCACACTCCTCACACGCACGCTCACACTCACTCACTCGCTCGCTCTCCCATACACTCCACAGAAAGGCAGCGCCGCACAACAGCCGGTGCCTCCTCACGGAGAGGAGGAGGGAAGGCACTCGCGGAACACGGCCGCGGCTGTCGCAAAAACGTCGCGAAGCCCCGGACTCGCCTCCGGCCCTCCCTCTAAGCCGGCTCCTAAAGTGGCTGGCTGACCACCTCCGCTGGCGTCCGCACCCCAAGGGCCGCGCGAAGGCAGCCGGGGAGCCTCTGCCTGAAGCTGCCGCCAAACACACCACGTGAACCCGCCCCATCGATGACGGAGCCTCAAACTACAATGCCCAGAATGCCCGGCTCTCGCCATTGCCGTCTAGCCACGCTCCACCCCGCGCGATGGGTATGTGGAGCGTTGCATCTTGGGATTAGTAGTCCACGTGGCTTTGAGTTTCGGATCCTTAGGGATTATTTTTTTTTTTCTCTTCCCGGCTGTGGTAGCGAGCTAGTCTGATTTAGGTCGTGTACACTTGATCAAAGCTATTTACATGTGAGTTTATATTAGAATCACATTTTGCGCCACTTCCAAACTCCAGATTTTAAAAGGCATTTTTATTGGAAAAGTATATGTATTTGTAAATAGACCTTGGGATATCCATTGGCGTGCTCTTGGCATGCACAGTCTAATAAGGTCTGTACAGTGATATCAGTATACCCCCATACATTACAGACAACAGTAAAAGTGAATCATTCCTAAACATTATTACTCTTGAGCTACTTGTTCAGTGGAGGGGATATTTTTAATACAGATTGCTGCACTTCTGCCTATAAGGATACTAATTTTTACCTGAGATTATAGTAATGGATCTAAATCCATAGCAAATAATTAATAAAGTTAAGACACCTTAATGGAGGAAGACTAGTCTTATTATGTTTCATCTCTTTCGTGTGTCTACTTTTAAGTTTTGGTTTCTATCTATTACCAGTTCTGCCAAAACTCCCCCGTTCTCTAAAGGGAATATGACCTTTCTTGCTTAAAACTCCCCCTGACACTTCACACACACACACACACACACACACACACACACACACACACACACACACACACACTTACATTGTAGTACTCAATTTTCCCCCTTGAAACATTATAAACTCTCATAGAAGTCAAGTTTTCATCTTTCACAAGATAGATCCTAACTTGATTATGATGCTTATTAAACATTTATGAAATTAATAAATGAACATATTACAACAAAAGTATTCATGTAGAGATAATACAACTAAAATGATAATTATGATGGTAATGATGATGCCAATTTATGAAATTCTCAAATGTTTTATATGTACATTTCCTTAGAGAAAACTAGGGACTTCACTGATTTATATTGTTTCTACCTAGTATAATTTTATTTAGTGTTTAAGTATACTGACTGTTTAGATAGGCTTTGGTCTGAGTCCTACTTTACTATTTATTAGCTGTGTATCCTGGAAGTCTCAGGAATTTATCTTAGTAAAATGAAGTTAGGAAAGGCCTTAGATTAGAGTAAGTACAAAATGGGATATCATTTGTTTACATTCAGTAAATTAGGTGATACACTACAAAACTTTCCCTTTACTTAGTGAAAGAATTACCTTTTGGGCTGGATACTAGCTCCTTGGTGCATGCACTGTGATTTTTGTCTTTTGTGCCATGTCCTGGAGCTTGAACTTGGGGCTTTAGTGTTATCTCTGAGCTTTTTTACTCAAGGCTAGTGCTCTGCCACTTGAGCCACAGCTCCACATCTAGCTTTTTGGAAGTTAATTGGAGATAAGAGTCTTAGAGACTCTCCTTCCTGGGCTGGCTTTGAACTGTAATCCTCAGATCTCAGCCTCCTAAATAACTAGGAGTATTGGCATGAGTTCCTGGCACTGGGCTGAGAGCAATTGCATCTATTGAACTCCCAACTAGATCAATTCCTTAATGTTTGCACTACTCTAAGTAAAAGTGTACTCGTTTTGCTAATGAACTTGTTTGCTACTTGAGGTCTAATGATGTTAGCTTTCTAGTAGACAGGGGTGGCAACCCAAACTTCTTTCCAAAGTTCTTTTCCAACAATCACACACCTCCTAGATTCAAGATGAGGCTGACTAGTTGTTACTATAAGAAAGGAAGACTTAATGGGCGCCAGTGGCTCATGCCTGTAAGCCTAGCTACTCAGGAGGCTGAGATCTGAGGATCTCAGTTCAAAGCCAGCCCAGGCAGTTCATGAGACTCTTATCTCCAATAAGCCACTCAGGAAACTGGAAGTGGTGCATTAGCTCAAATGGTAGAGCGCTAGCCTTGAGCTGAAGAACTGAGGGACAGCGTTCAGGCCCAGAGTTCAAGCCCCATGACCACCAAGAAAAAAAAAAAAAGAAAGCTTTAGTGGTGTTCCTATTTATTCCACTTTAAATCAAAGAAATAAATAACACACCCCCATCCTCATTTAGGCCTCCTTCATTCCCAGTTACCTTTTTAAAATTATTATTATTAAGCTTTTTATTGTGAAAATACCATACAGAGGGGTTATAATTACATGAGCAAGGTAATGAGTACATTTCTTAAATCAAGCATTGTTGCCTCCTCCTTTGTTTCCCCATACCATCCCTGTGTGCCCTCCCATTATTACCACCCCCCAGCCAAAATTGTAAAGTTCGGTTTTTGACATAGCATCTTGTACCTTTCATTGTTGCGATGGGTCCACCTGTATCCATATTTAAACAATTTGTTTTTTCCCTTTCCCTCCCCAAATGATACCAACATCAAATACAGTGAAAGCAGGGGTTATACTGTGGGGGGGAGGGACATACAAAGCAACAAAAAAAATCACCATATAAATATGTTAGAAACAATAGCAAGAAAAAAGAACCATTTGAGTCCTTATCTTGGGGTTCATTTCGCCTAACATCAACTTATCTGACCGTTTCTGCTTGTCACAGACATATACTAATTACTAAAAATAAGGGAAACCATGGGACCTATGTTTCTTTGGGCCTGGCTTACTTCACTTATATAATTTTTTCCAAGTCTTCCCATTTATTAACAAATGGGGCAATGTCATTGTTTCTGATGGAGGTAGTTTATATACCACATTTTCTTGATCCATTCATCTATTGAGGGGCATCTGGGTTGGTTCCATATTTTAGCTATGGTAAATAATGCTGCATTAAACATAGTTGTGCTGGTAGCTTTAATATGATCTTGTTTGTGATCATTTGGGTAAATGCCCAAAAGTAGGATTGCTGGGTCATAGGGGAGCTCTATGTGGAGTTTTTTGAGGAACCTCCATACTACTTTCCAAAGTGGTTGAACAAGTTTACACTCCCACCAACAATGCAGTATGGTTCCCTTCTGTCCACATCCCCTCCAGCATCTGTTGTTGTTAGAGTTCTTGATTATAGCCATTCTAACTGGTGTGAGGTGGTATCTCAATGTTGCTTTGATTTGCATTTCTTTTATGGCTAGGGAGGTTGAGCATTTCTTCATGTGTCTATTGACCATCCTTCTTTCCTCTTCAGAGAAGTTTCTCTTTAAGTCTTTAACCCACTTATTTATTGGGCAGTTGTTTCTTTGAGGATTTGTTGTTGGGGGATTTAATTTTTTGAGTTCCAGGTATATTTTAGCTATGAGACCCTTGTCCATAGTATGGCTAGTGAAGATCTTCTCCCAATTCGTGGGCTTTCTATTGATCTTGCTAGCTATGTCCTTTGCCATGCAGAAGCTCTGCAATTTCATGCAATCCCATTTGTCCAGTCTTTCTTTGATTTGTTGTGTTTCCGGGTCTCTATTAAGAAAATGTTTGCCTGTTACCTTTTATCTTACCTTCTTGTTCTCTACTTCCTAGACTCCACAAGTCTTTCACCACTAGTATTTGGGTCTGAAGAAGGGAGGAGGAGCAGGGAGCAGGTGATAAAACAGTATGAGTTAGTGGGGATCAAAGTAACTTCATCCAGCTCGTGTCACATGTGTTGTCTGTGGAACAGGTCATCTCTGACAAATATGTTTTCTCTCAGTATAATGAGCATGTCTCAGTATAATGAGCAAGGTTGGTATTGCTCATGGTGTGTGTGTGTGTGTGTGTGTGTGTGTATGAGTGTCTGTCAAAAGCTGCCATGTTAAAGGCTTTGTCTCCAGTTGAAGGTACTATTAGAAACTAGTAGAACCCTTAAAAGATGGGGCCTAGTGGGACAAGTTAGGTTACTGGGACATGCTTTTGAAGGGAAATAAACATATATAAAAACAAATTTAATTACATTTTTCTAAATATCAATTTAGAATATGTACTTCCTGAAAATAAATGTGTGTGTGTGTGTGTGTGTGTGTGTGTGTGTGTGTGTATGTATTTATTTTGTGCTAGTAGTGGAGCTTGAACTCAGGAACTCATGTTCTCCCTTGGCTTTTTTGTTTAAGTTTGATATCGTACCATTTGAGCCTTATCTCCACTTCCAGTTATTAAAATTAAATTATTTCAAGCCAGACACTAGTGGCTTATGCCTGTAATACTAACTGAAAGCTTAAATAAAAGATTATTAGACTTTACCAGAGAACCACACAGACATCCAGGTACAGAGAACAAAGAAAGGTTTATTGCTGGGAAAGGGGCCCAGCAAGACTCCCTCTCACAAGAGAGAATTGAGAAGAAGAACCAGCTATTGTCTGAGGTGATCTGTATAACCTGGGGGGTTTAGGAGGGGCTAGAAAGGGCAAGGAGGCAGAGACCCTGGTGTGGATGTGTGGGCCAGGGGCTTCATCATGGCCGACTAGGATTTATGGCTGCTGTCCAAATAGTAGATAAGGAGTCCTGCAACTGCCTAGACCTGAAGATAACTCTAAGGGGCTCTTGTTGTCTTATATGGTGGTAGCTGCCCCAGAAAAGTGCCATCCCAAGGTAAAGGGGGCTGGAGGCTGATTATTTTACTTCCTTTACTTAGATGGGCCTAATGTTGTCTAGGAAGGGAGCATGCTAAGCTGTAAGAAGGGAAGGAGTGGACTAAACTATGGGAACAGAGCTCATTTCACTAACACTAACTACTCAGGAGGCTGAGATCTGCAGATCACATTTTGAAGCCAGCCCAGGCAGGAAAATCTGCAAGACTTTTGTCTTCAGTGAGCTCCTCCAAAAGCTTCCAATAGAGCTGTGGTTCAAGTGACAGAGAACTAACCTTGGGCAAAAGGTTAGTTCAGAGACAGTATCTAGGCCCTAAGTTCAAGCCCCAGCACTGACACAAAAACAACAACAAAAAAATAACTTTCAATATTTGTTGAGAGATGTATCTTTTTGTCCAAGTATTTACTTATAGATCTTTAGAAATCACTCCAATGCCTAGATTAAGTGTGGTGAAGAAGTATGGGACTCAGCTTGACCCAGCACTATAGGGGTGTCC